ACAATGACTCTCTCTTAGTCTCTATTAGCTTCAGGCCTGATGAAATATGAATTTGCTGGCTCATTACAACGGAAATCACAGAAGCATACAAAAAACCTCAGGTACTCACTACGCCATTTAATCAGAGAGGAATGAAGTCACTTCTCCGATGCAAACAAACGTGAATGATCCACACGATGCTAAGTCATGGAGGCAGTGAATCGGAAAGTATTGGGTATATGATGAGGCAACCAACAGCACACCAGACGATCTTCAATACAAACTTAATTGGTAGCCTCGCTAACAGAAAGCATTGTTGGAGCTCAGATCCAGAAGTGTCCATTTTCCATTTTCTGACGATAGTTCAAATTAAAACGTGAAACTGCATAAATAGCCAGGAGGACGCAACATACAAATATAACAAATGAATTAACTAGGAGGAAGACAAGTGTCTTGTGATATTGTATTTGTTGTAGAATACACTAACATAATTGGTTTTATTTATACATTTTCTAACTAGAACTCACACGTAAAACATCCATATCAAATGACATGTTCATTTAAATGTAATAACGTGTATTCAAAGCAATGAACTGTGTTCTGCTCTGAGGCAAAACTTAATATATAATTAACAAAAAACACAACCCTAAAAAACGTTCCCTTTGTAAGATAACGATATATTCAGATTGTCATGATAGGATATATGGAAATATGAATCATAACATAATGTATTGACGACGTCTGATGTATGAGGATTTCATGCATGTGCTCTTAAATCGCAATGATCCTTTTTGCTTTTGTACCATAGAGATAAATCCATCTATCCACCTCCTTTCTTTCTACACACCACTAGCGCACACACACACACATACAAACAGTGCAGGACAAAACCGAGAGGCAGCAGCACTTGAGCACTTCACACTGGTCTATCAAAGGGAGGCCGAGCAGACACATGCAGGGTACTTGGCCACTGCTGCAGGACTTAACAGAGCACCCACTTGGCTCCAACATCAGGCCAACAAGGCGCCCGGCAGGCTGGTCAGCCAATGGGAACGGATCTGTTTGAGGCCTGCTTAAACCATTCACCCTTTAGCAGCATTTTCCGTAATGCATTGTGAAGTCCAGATAAACACATACAGTAGCGATAAATAATAGACAAGGTAAATCTGGGCAGCCAGCCATGAAAGTGACCCGTTATGCCATTCATTCGGACAGCATCCAACTTAGACAAGCTTCAGGAAGAAGCACTTTCACACTCTGATACATCAAAACATTATACTTCCCTGAACAGACACCTTCATTTACACCAGAAACCCCACAGAGCTGAGGCCACTCTTCACTCTTAAGAAAGCTCTGCATGTTCGATTCCAAGCCTACATCATTCACTGGAAAGGAAATGGATGTCACCATTGTTGCTGTGTCAGATTGTATGGATGGACTGAAGCGTGAAGGGAATTGTATAAGTCAATAATGACTTGATGTACACTGTCCAGATAAAGGCCAGCTTTACATAGTGTGGTTGGAGGCAACGCAAAAAGTGTTGGATATACCGAACTGCAAGTACCTTCAAAGTTGATATATGTAACAGTATCTATCACATTTTGGACTTTGCTTAGGGTTCTTTTGACAGGCTTAGAGCCATCATCGCACACACGTTTGATGAAGAGACCATAAGTCTGCGGCAGATGGGGACAGACTCTCGCTGACGTATCTGCTCGGCACATTCTCAGCTTTGTTTCTCACTTGGAGACTAGTCGGGGCAGAGCAGTCGACACATCACACCAGCCTGTCAGACACACACTCACCGACACACAAGAGTTTCCCTTTCAGGATGGCTGTGAAATCTAAGATTGAATAAATCGACAGCTCTCTTCACTATCTAGTAATACGGCTCCATACAGATATGACACTCAACACTCTAAAGTACTCTGTGTGGATAAATGCACTCAGCAGCTCAGGGGAAGGATTGGAGTTGCGACAGAGAGGATACTAAAAATGAAAGTTACATCCAAATGCAATCTGGGAATCGGTAGTTTAAGAAACATTTTGGGTAAATTGGTCTATTTATTGTGTTACTCTATTTATAGTATTCTTTGCAAAGCACATACAGAACCAATTAGCAGTATGAGCTGGGGAAGAGAGGTGTGAGGGGTGATAATGAGGAAATCACTTCTATACCTTGGAATCAGTAACAACTCTGTACTCGAGTGACAGAAGCTACGTGTCTATTAAAATGTTATTCAAGAGGATGCGACAAGATTACATAATCAATCAAGTGCCAGTAATGCAATATTGATGTAATGCATCATTGTGTTTCATTGTACTTATTTCAATCTAAGATGACATTTGTAATCTTTAATGAATTCATTTGTCGCTTTTGATCCACATGTACGTTGTGGTGTTTTTCTTAGTTGCTATGGTGATAGTAAAGAGGGGGCAACATGAAACAAGGACGACAACTGGACTTGAAATGGGGACACTGCGGTTACATAATATACATCCCCTCCTCTTCCTGGTTGAGGCATGCATACAACAATGATTGGAAGATTGATATAAATGTTATTTTTCTAGAAAAGATAGCCATTTGTTTTTCTATGCATCGTGTCTACTCTTCCAAAAACACCAGACCATTGTTTGTTGTGGTCTTGGAAGATATGGCGAGAATATCGAGCAACGCCATATTGGTCAAGATAATGTTCCTCACATGTCCACGATGACAAAACAACATATATGCAATATATTCTGCCTCTCTTTCTCTGCGACTCCCATTTGAGTTTTGACTTGGGAAGGCAGAGGTACATTAATGGCATTTGTGTGTTTTTGTGACCCATTTTAGCGTTTTGATTTTTCAATTAGTCTGAGAGACACCATTCATCAATGATGAACTGGTGGTGGCAGGATGCTGCTGGCAGAGCGGAGCCCTGGGTCTCGCTGAAGTGTATGTGTATATGATAGAGACAGTATTGACACTTTTGTGAAATTAAACAGCATAAACAAATGAAGGACAGCGTCCTCCTTTAACCACAGCACTGTGTTTAGCATACATGCATGGGGACAAGGACATCAAGCAGGATTCCCCTGAGGACTTGACTTTGAGGCAATAAATCAATAGAGGGTGACTCGTCCCTTGCCACCGGTTTATCTTTCTGAGACACACAAGCTTACATAAGCAGGTTGATGAGCAGATTCCAATCAAAGAAAACAGTAACGCTTATTCCAACCCCATATACAGTATCCATCACGCAGGAGTTCCATTAAAAAAATGCCATTTACTCCTGGGTTCAAATCCAAACATCTTTCAAGGTCAAATCTTTACAGACATTTCATCAGCTTGGTCCTGTGGTTGCCTGGTAAAGTAAAAAAACAAGGCTGAGAAGCAGATGTGTTTTTCCTCACTCCCAAACAAGAAGTCTGTCTCATGAAACTGTGTTGTGAGTGTGTTAATGCAGTGTTCAGCAACTTCAAGGTGCAGTCAGTCAGCAAGAAAGTGGGGGTATTTTAAGGGTCGATGGGATAAACGAAAGAAAAGCAACATTTTCTGTTAGTCACATGTCATAAAGGGCCAGGCAGAGAGAGCTGTGATGCAGAGAGAGTCAAACTGAGACTCGGCAGTAAGTCAGTCACGTCTCTTATTCCTGAAACATGTTTCAGCACTATCTTCCACATCTGGATCAGATTGTATGATTTGACATGATAAACTTTCTCTAGGAAATATCTTAAATATATACGAGACCTTTAAATGGTTTATGTTCACCCAAAATGCAGGTTTACACAGCTCAGCCTTATGGTACTGAATTCAAGCTTACAGTACATGCATTTTGAAAAAAGTTTGAAATGATGAAGGATGTGGCCTGATTGTTCCTGTATGCGTTATGGGCGCCTGTGCATTGTAAATATGTTGGTTCCTTGGTAAATATACTGTACGGAAGATGAAACATTTCACATATTCAAACTTGGATGCACAAACACACACGGCAGCATCAGTTGGTGTCTGGAGAGCTGCAGCTCATTACCATGGTACCTGAGGCTTAAAGCACAAGTCAGGGTTTCCCTGTGAGAGAGTGAGCAGAAGCACTGAACACCTCCAACCGGGAATAAAATACAGCTCGACTTTTCACATGATCAAGGTTTCACTACGAGCGTTATTCCCTCCCTCCTTATTGTCGTTTGAACACAACAATAGTCCACCACGATCCAATTAAGTCGAAGAGGAAAATGCACATTCCCAGATGAAAAGCAGGTATTCTCCTTCACAACACGGTGTTAACTACTAACTAGCCCATGACATGACAGATGGATGCAAATCTGTGATGAGATCAGGATAACAAACTTTAGAGAAGGGGGGGGGGGGGGTAACATTCTTCCCACACAAAGATAAGAGCAGTGAGGACTACGGGGAAACTAAGACGACAGAAGGTGGATGGACTGGTGCAGAAACTCTCAAGGTTGATAATACATGACAAGTGTCACACTATAGCAAGGAAAGAATTAGAGACATGATAAAACAGATCTCTCAAGACGAAAACTGGCATGACGGGCTGCAGGAATGTGAAAAAAAGGGAAGACAAGTTTTCCTGGGTATATTGTCTCCACAGAAGTGAGTTCCAAACAGCTTTGAGATGATATGATGTTGCATGAACATGCCAGATGTAGCCAAAACTGTAGCTGTACTTTCTCCACTGCAACCTTCCCTCCTTCCTCTGCTCTCCCTCTTTCTCTCTCCAATGCTCCCTCCCCCTCTTGCCTAATCCCCCCCTCTCTTTCTCTCTGTCAGTCTCTCTCTCTCTCTCTCTCTCTTTCTACACACACTCTCCGATGCACACACGCAGAAAAGGGGAGAAAGCCAGAGAGGAGAACTGCGGCGGCACGATGGGGATATTCCGCCTGCGTGGGCTCTGTCGCTGAGGCGTCCGGAGTTCAGCCTCTGTGTGTGTGTGCCTGTGTGAGTGTGGGAATGCATGTGGGAGTGAGTGTGAGCCCCTGTCGACAAGGTGCCGGGGAAAAGGAAAAGAGAGCGGGTTGAGAGGAGGAGAAGAGAGGGGGAGTGTTGACTCTGACTGGAGGGAGAGGAACCTCATGCCACTGGATCAGAGGACTCCGATGTGCAACAACTACTCCAACTCCTGCCGCCGCTGCCTGTCCTCTTAACTTCTACCATGGCATAGCCTCCTCTTCCAGCTCGCCTGTAATCCACAAGGACACGGGCATGCATGGGCAGAACCAGGGATCTAGGCTAACGCATCCTTTACGTCAGTGATTCACAGTCTGAGGTGAGTCGCTCATCTCTGCTCTTGTCCTCTCCTCTATTTCACCTCTCAGTGTGCAACTGCAACGGGGAAAGTCTGTTGGAATAACCACTGGAGGTGGGAAATCCGAGGGATCTGCTCACTCTGTGGGACTGAGCCTGGGATTATCCACGGGGAATGTTTTCACTGGAGATTTTCCCGTTTGATCGGCTGATCAAATATCAAATACGTGTGGCAGATGAAAGGAGGTAAATCTCAGATTGATTTGAGTTTGGCTTAGTTCCCTCTGATGCTGGGGGGGAAGTGGTTAAGGGGGATTTTGGGCAGTGTATGTGGAATGTGCTGACTTTAAGAGACGATTCAGTCAGTTTAGAAAACTTTGAACATAAAAAAAATGTTTATATCTCAGGTGGAATATGAGTTCACTGCCATTTCTAGGTGACATTTCTGAGATCTGGCAGGTCGGTTTTCTGTTTCCTGAGAGGATTCTGATCGACATTTAACCTGACTGGCTCAGCATACAGAGCTAAAACAGTGCTTACGTACAACGGCTTACGTACAAGGGCTTGCATGATGCTGCATTTCCTCTCAGTTTTGCAGCTGAGTGAGCATTATATAAAACCACACCGGTGTCTATACCAAAAGACAAATGATGTGAGGCGGTTGTCCCACATATGGAGGCAGCAGTGTTTAACATCACAGCGAAAATAGGGAATGAGCGCCGGCCATCAGACAGTTGCATCTGATGAAGGACCTTACCTAAAGGCTAACCTTGATTAATGGACTGCATGAAGTCATCTACTTACAGATTGTTGAAGAATGGGTGTGTGTGTGTGTGTGAGCGTGAGGGAGAGAATGAGAGAGAGGACCCTCACATCTCCACTGTCCTTCAGATGCCACACAAAACGCATGTCACTCCCACTCATCTCCACGGAACCTCCTGCCATCGCTCTTCGTCTCTCCTTCAACCCTATCTCACATCAACGCTCTGATACAATCTCCACTCTGCTCCATTTCACTTAGCGCAGACACTGAGAAGAGGACTGAGGGAAGATGGATAAAGAGAGAAAGAGATATACTGTAGAGCAAGGGGAAAATATATTGTCTGTGAGAAATAATAGAGAGAGTATGCCGGGAGAAGATATTGAATTATGTTCTCTTTTTTTTGTATTGATAGGTATTATGTGCCGACATGAAAAGCACATACCTGCTGTCACGGTCTTTATGTTATGTAAGAACAATTATATGAAATGACAGGATAGACATGAAAGAAGGTTTCCGCTTCAGAAAGAAAAACTAATTCATCCGTCGCTGCCTGTCTTCCTTTAACCCCCATGCTGCCTCTGAGAGAACTGGGCATGGCCGTCCAGGAGCGATGGGCATGTTGGCCCACCGCTTCAAAAAGCAGATCTTTATTTTTAGGAATCAGTCATTTCCAGCCTTCACTTCACGCAGTAATGCCTGCCTCTTATGATCGTGCAAGAAAGGAGTGTGTGCACGCCACCGCAGGACGTGCAAATCACTCCAAATGTCCAAGTACATGAAGATGTAACGGTAGAACAGAGCTACAATTTCACACTGAGATGTCAAAATATGTCAGAAAGTGTGAGGGAGCATGTGAGGTGGGCATTCACCTGGTGTGGCCTGGCTTGCTGGGAGGGATATTCATTCATCCAGAAAACAAATTGTTCTCCTATGAGAGAGTGACTGCTTTTGGAACAAGCCAGATGTTAGCTTTCATGTGGTAATAGGATTATTCATTAAGAGGCCAATTTCTTCCCTGGGAGCGAAACAACAAGGCCAAGCAGTGGAGGTGAATGCACGTGCGTCTGCTGTTGGAGAGGAGAAGGTGTCGTTGTGAACGCACTTCTGCTGTTCCCACATGATCCCACCTGGGTGTTGTTGTTGTCAGTGTGCCCTGGTGTAGTGGCGTGTAAAGCATGTGTTCCCCAGTGCTCTGCGGTAGGGGCCCATCAGTGGGGCTCCGACAGCCCCAGAGGCAGAATAGCAGAGGAATGGAGTTTTCTTAGGTAAAGCTGAGTGGAGCTGCGACCCACAAATGTTTTTGATTAACAGCTATGCATTACCATAATGACCAATGACAAAGGCTACATCTTCAAATAGCTTGTTTTGCAGGGTTAGGGTTAGTTAGTAATAGTGTAAAAGCGACTCGAACCATAATTTCATCAAATCTTTCTGCGAATGACTGTTACCAACATTCTGACATGTATTGTATGCACAGCTAAGACTAATTAGACCTTGACAGGCATACCTGGGAAGAACTTTACTCAAAAATGTATCAGCATTTAAAACTATATGTATTTGTGGCCTGTAAAGTCACTTAACACAGCACCCTCTTATCCTCTGATACTTGCTGTTCATGGGATTCAGTTGAGCTCACAAAATGATACATCTTATCGACAAGACATGATGGCTTTCGCCGTCTACTCCCCTCGGAGCCAGGGTCTCTATTTCTGTTCATGGAATCTTCTCTATGGCTTCATCTTCCTTCTTCATTATTATCCGTCTATTTTGTTCACAGTCAATTCTGCTCCGCTCAAGCAGAGTGAAAACTACACACCTAGAACCATGCTCCTGTTTATTCCAGTCTCTTGCTCTTGTTTTCCATTTTTGATGTGTGTGGAAGTGTGTGTGTGTCATGTTCCTTTTGCTAGGGATGACTAGGAGGAATCTGAGAGCAGCAGGGGAGTTCTCTAGTTCCCATCAGCTTTGAAACCTCAGCGTGGCTCCGAGGCAAAGAGAGAGGGATAGACAGAAAGAAAACAACAAAGAGAGCACAGAATGAAAGGAAGAAAACTAAAAATGAGTAAGAAGAGAGAAATAATGTTCTGTGGAGAGACGAAGAGGAGAGGAAAGGGAAGAGTGATCCGATGCATTCTGATCAGAGCCTCTGCAGCACATATCCTTTCTTGAGGTCTGATCTCCATCTAGCATGCATGTTCACTGACGTATGGATTACAGGCTTCCTCTGAATCCATCAAGCTCCCGAGAAGCCACCTGGGTGCAGGCGGAGCACACCAATTCAACTTAATACGGCGAGTAAGGGAATAACAAAGAAAAGCACAATTCAGTGGGGACAAAGTGAGTAGAAAATAATAAGGCTTCAATGTCCGCAGGCTACAGAGCAAGCATAAGAAGTCCTGCATGAAAACAGCAGCAGGCTGACATACAGTAAACTGGGTACTTAAAGCAACTTAAAGCAATATAAATGTAAAATAAATGTAATATATGAATGCGGAAATATATGTAATGCACATAGGGCTTTTCAATAAATGCTGTGCATATGGTAGAAAACATATAAAGGGTATTTTGAGTGCTGTGGATTAACTGCAAATCTGGATTTATCCTATCAGAGTATCAGCATTAAGGGAACACTACGTTTATGTAAATTAATTAACCACACCATAAAAGTACAGTAACGCTCAAAGACTATTATGCACTAGGTCAGTGCTTCTCAAACCTTTTTCAGTAATGTACCCCCTTTGAAACATTTTCTCAGCCAGGTACCGACCGACCCCGAACATTTTTGATCGAAAAAGCCTACAGTATATAAATAATTACAATATAGTGATGTTCCCTCAGTGTGTGATTTATTAACTCCTTCGTGCATGAATTAAAACAAACTAAGGATATGTTCATCTTCATGCATGAAAAAAAATAACATCACGACATTTTTTTTTAAACAGATTTTTCCAATGAGACTTTCAATTGAAGTAATATATGTTTAACAAACGAATGAACAAAATGATATATTATGCAAAACTATAAAATACAATACACACATTTGACATGTTTATACGAGGACCCCCTTGGTGGTTCTAGAAATATTTTATATAAAAATGTTTTTTCTATTTAACTTATTGTACTAAGATTATTTTTCTAATCATGCATGGTATTTTTTTAATTCACTTTTTTTTTTATCTCACGTACCCCCTGCAGTACCCCAACGTACCCCTAGGGGTCCGCGTACCCCCATTTGAGAATCACTGCACTAGGTCATTACGATAAATAATTTGGCCTCATCCATGAGGTTTATTTGATTAGAAATATGTCCCAATACACATCATTGTGCCAACACTACTGCTTTATACTGTAGTCACATTAACAAACTCACTGATCCTGGATCTGTATGTGATTGTAACAAGGATTATGTGACATCTGTCCTTCTCCTGGGTTTATAATGAACTTTCATGCTGTGCTCTATACAAAATGATAGTTTCCGGTGTTATTTAGTCATTAATGCAGCACACACGATGAGCAAAATCTTCAAAATGGTGCTTGGCAACGGCGCAGTGGTCCATGATGACTGAGCTACAATTACTAGAGAGACAATCTCTTCAAATCCTGTGTTTCCAGTGCCATTCCATTTTACAGCATTAAGCTACCATTAACTGACAAAGGATTTGCTGCGTTTGGTGTCAGCTTAATGCACTGTACTGCAGTTATCGCTCAAACACTGACCTGTACAGTCAATCACTCAGCTATATATACCCTCACATCTCACCCGGAGAGCATGGGAGCTGCTGCAGCACAGAGACAGAAAATAAAGACCCAACAATAAACCTACACCGTCTAATGACCTTAGCAACACAAAGTAAAAGTAAACGACCAGCCCGGATATCTTTTCACTGCATAATCAGTGTGCTCTTAAGAGGCACATCAAAGACTTTTTAAAAACACCACTAAGCCCCAAGTAATTATGAACAGAGGCTGACAGAAGAGAGGAACGAGGAAAACAAAACATGGGTAGATAAAGCTGGATTACTTTGGAGCCTGGAACTGCTACGCTTATTTGTTCAAGCAGCATCTGAGGCCACGCTGAGCTGTAATAATGTCACACTGCAGTGATAGGATAGCAGGATTTTGTTGATCATGTAGCACAGGGATGGGCAACTTGGATGGTGGTGGGGGCCACATAATTGATGTACTGGCCACCAGGGGGCCGCAGATTCACACACACACAAATTCCATGTATTGTATGTAATTATTAACAAATATACGAA